AACCTGTTGCTATTTGTATCATCCGTAAGTATGCAACTTTTATTTCTCGTCTAAGCTTTATTTACTATGAATTACTAATTCAATAGATACATTCATTGTAACATACTTCCCGCTTTCATTAATCGACCGCTATTTTTATCAGACTTTATTGATTACATTATTTTATATGTTCCACAGAAGTACGAAAAATTTCCTTTATTTTATTTTATATTTAGCGCATCATGGTTTATTGCCATTATGTTACTTTATTATTAATATTGTATATTTATAGAAATAATTTTGCATTTTATTATATGGAAGAAAGTTTAATTATTGTCCCTTTGTGTAATCATCAGAGGTAGATCAATCAAAAATACTTACCCTTTATTACTTTTTATCTTTCTTCATATTAATACCTTAGAAATTGATCATAATATTCGGTAATTAAAAATATTTTTAAGTTATCTTTGAAATTATATACAGCAACTAATGACTTCTTTTTTTTGGTTTAGAAAATTGTATATTGAATAAATTATGAAACAAATATTTTTATATTTGTTATGCTAGAGGTCTAGTAAAAAAAAGATTTAAAATAAAATATTACTATATAATTAACTTTTAATTTAAAAAATTGAAATTTTGTATAGAAATGTAATGCATTACCTTTGAAAAATATCTGTGAGCCGGTCCTTTATAATATAACTAAGATGATATTCTAAAGCAGTATAGAATTAATTCCATTAATATTATATTAATTATTAAAGATAGTAACTTTATGAAAATAACTTGATTAGTGAATAAATAATTAATACTTTATTGATTTTTAATAACAATAATATTATTATCGTGTATTGATTATTAAATTAATACACCTTGAAATGTTGAAAGTATAATTGCACACGTTCAAACTCATAATTCATTTCTATAAAAAAGACAATTGTTTCTTTCAATGTGACTAATAATACATGCACTTGTTAAATTTTTTATTAATTCAATATTAATTTTGAAGAATATGAAGTTTAATGAAAACAGACTATTTGCCGCATTTTTACAACTGCAGTAATTTATAGTTAACGATAAATTATTTATAATATTTTGTATTTCAATATACAAATTAATAACAAGTACAAAATAAAAGGTATAAATTAAATATAAGCATTCAGGTTACCCAGAACTAAATAATACGATACTCGATACCACTTTCATTCATTCGTACGAGCAAGAAAAACTCGATCCGGTGGTTTTTTACATTCTCGCCAACTTAATAACATCATCTGGGTCCTGCATTTCCGAGCTAAATAATGAATTGGTTTTAACAGGAGCAACAGCCTTCCACACTGAGTTATCGACCATTTTCTGTGGAATAGAAGCAAACGACGTGCCTAGTTTTACTTATTGACTCCTGTCTCTTACTTCGTTTGGAAACGTTTTGCAACCTATATTCAGTAGGTGTACGTTGTTTGCGTATAAGGATCGTTTTTAGTCAGGAGATAAACTGAAAATAGGCAAATGATTTTCCATGTATGGCCATTCAGGTCATTAAACACGCGATTACTATTTATATAACACGAATGTCAAGAATTGTGCTATACCAAACAAATGTTAGAATAAGAAAATAAATAGCCATATGTAAAGATGCAGTTAAATAGTTCATTTACACATTTCTAGATTTAGTGATATAATATATAAAACCAATTATTTAAAAAAAAAAGTTTAAATTAGATGTGTTTGGTTTTTTATTCTTGTAATTTATAATTCTTATAACCCTATAAATACATTTATTATTCTGAACAAATAATGCACCCCATTTTCTCTGTTATATTAAAAGGTAATTAATAAAGAAAGAAATCGATTTTCTTCATTATCATAAAGTGTTCTGATACTATATTATAAATTAAGAGTATATTTAAATTCCTATTTTGAGCTACTTCGATGCATTAATATTTAGATACGTATGTTAAAATGAAATGAAATGATTTATAATTCTGTAACTTACAAGTAATACTAAATTTATATATATTTATTAAAATTATTCTTAAGTGAAATACACTTAGTAACTTTAAAACATATAATACTATTTTTTACTATTAGTATGGTAATTTATAAATTATATTGATTATCTCTCTAATAAAACTTATTAAAAAAAAATCAATTCTGACTTTTATTTTTGGTACTACAAATACAAATAGTGGCATTTACCTGTACGCATATGAGAAATCATTTTAAATCATAGAATAAAAGTACTTCTTCTAAAGAATGAAATATTATAATTTTGCCCCAATGAGAAAGAATAATTTTTATTCGAATTGTTAAGAGAAATGATTAGAGGTTTGCTAATAAGTTTTGTTTAAAATTTTAAATTATGCCAAATATTTATTATAAAGGAATATACATATGTTTTAAAATAATAATTTTATATAATTATTAATTCATTAATATTTATGCAATGGATATTATTTTTATATTAGCCTTTCAATTTAAATTTAAACAATTTAAAATTTTATGAATGATATAAACTCTTAAAGTTCATTATTAATACAAGAACGTTATTTTTTCCTATTTTGTACTATATCAAGTTGTAACCCAGTTTATTCGAGCCAATTTAATTTTATATTTTTGTTCTCATCTTTCTAGACTCAAAGATTTTTCTTTCAAATTTTTCAACGTGAACCTTATATGATGTACTTATTTATTATTAAGTTTAGTGGAATGTTGTAATTTAATTTTTAAGCATATACTAAGTATTAACAAGTTTTATGAATAATAACATTTAGAAAAGTTCAATAATCAATGAAATAATAGATGCTAGATATAATTAATTGTTAATCAGAGATATTAAAATTTATAGTAAATTTAAATTCATTAAATCAACATAGCAATATATAATAATTAAATTTTGTTATTAGTTATATCTGTCTTATATAAGAATAAATATATATTCATTCCTTTAATAATTAATAATAGCAGTTGTTTTAAAAATAAATAAATACCGTTAATATTTTAATTATTGTCACGATTTCGTTATTCATTATAATTTTAGATTAATTAATATAAATATATTTATTTGCAACAATTAAAGAAGGTTTTCCGAATCACTAGTTTGTGGATTATAAACAATTTTTTAATCAAAATTAAAAGCTTTAGTATATTTTGTTACTATAATTTTCATAAACACAAATTGGCACTAAAATATACTTATTGGTGACTAATTTATTATTGTATTACATTAATTTCGCACAAATATGGTCATAAAATATACAGTCATATTTGTAATATTGCCATACATTTTTATAGTGCATATCGTATAATTATAATAAATTTAATTTTTCATGTAAATATTTTTATCTAAATATAAATCAATTTTAATTCTGTATTTGAAGTCAAACAAATAATTATAAGAACTAGCGAATCGAATACTTAAAAATTTTCTAATGTTTAAAAAAGACAATGTCAATTATTGTTATTGTAAGTGATAATATTAAACTAGTTCATCTTTTAGATAAATAATCGAAAGAAAATTAAAGTAAAAAATAAGTTAAATGTAGCACAAAAGAATTTTTTTGAAAAGAATATAATCAAGAAATTAAATATTTTAGATGTAATGTAATGCATTTAAATAATTCCATTATTGTATCAAAACTATTAAAACATTAATTTTATTATCAGCAGTTGATTAGCAGCATAGAAGTTAAGTCATTTTTAATGATCATCAAAAATTCCAATTTGCATCTAATAAAAAATGCAAGTATTTTAAATATAATAATTTTTCATATTCATTTTTAGTTTTCAGAAAATAAATTTGTTTTTTATCTGTAAATATTTATGTAAAGTATATTATTTTATTAATATCTATACTATGAAAATAATATAACTATTATGTATTGATGAAATCTGTTATAGTTTAGCACATTAATGAAAAATTGTAAAAATATATAAAAATCTGAAATTTAAAATGATGAAGATAATATTTTTATTTCACGAGTGTAATTTTTGTAATATTTTTTTAAGACACTGAAGTTTGTAAAAAATTTACGGACAATCTATTAGTCCGTAAGTTTACTTTCAACAATGCACAGAAATAAAATTAATTTTATACTTGAATATTCATTCATCTAATAATACGAAGTATAAAGTAGAAAAAATTCTCTTAATATTAGATTTAAATTCTGGTATACACTTGCAAATAACACATCATATACATTGTAATAAATTATGACAAATGGTTATTCATGTTTCCACTAATTGATGAAAATGTATGCAATTACTTTAGTTCGTAATTAATATTTGTCTTGAAAATTATTTTATTTTAGAGTAACGTTTATTAATAATATTTATATTAATTAATAATAAATAAATATAATCCATGATGATCGAGCTGTTATACCACCTGAGATCCCTACTACCTGTAGAATTGTGATATTATTATAAAGTTGGTGCCTATTGTAATCTCCACTAAATATGGATCGCGTGTTATGCGTGTGCAATCAAACTTCTCGGTGGTTTGCATATAATAGACTGATTATTCTTCGGTATAGCTAAAATACTCTCTTAATTATATATGTATATAATTAGAAGTTAGACATCTCACCTTTGCTTCTTCGAATATTCTCAAATTCAAAAACTTCGCTGGACAGGATTCAAATTTCTCCAATTTATTACCTATTATACGTAGGAAACACCTTGCGGTTTTAATACTACTGCTATTCAAAACTTTTACCGGACAGGATTCCCTCTTAATCTTATTCCTCTAATTTTTAACTTTTAGACTAAAATTTTAAACTAACTACTGTTCTAATTATTGAAATATCACCACAGCGCCATCGGTACTCTCTTTTCTCGTCTCCATTATTGGCATGAACCTCATGTACCTTACTTTCCAGGCAACTTATTCGCTTGTCCGCGTGCTCCCAATCTCCCTTCCTAATTCAATGAAAAGTTATGTGCTGCATAATTACCTGATTTACCTCTACTCGTATTGTCATCCCCGTTTTTCATGCCATTAATCATTGACCTTCGCGCATTCGGTCGTTGCCAATTGTGACGTTTCTGTCCAGTCTCTCGCGAAACATCAATCGCTTTGCAAGCACGGAACGTTGTAACGCGTCCGGACAACACTCCGTGGATGTTGTGACACGATTTTTTCTCGATCGTTCGTATAGCCAAGAGGATGCTGAACCAGGTGCAGCCGGACTTTCTCGAGCCCAGGTCGGAAAATGTAGAAAAAGTTACGAGATCAAAACCAAGGGCAAGGAGTGACGAAGGCGGTGAGCTGAGCAAAAACATTCGGGGCACCATAGTATTAAGCCGCTATTTCGACAGAATTAAAATTTTATTATAAATACATTTATTATAATACGATTGAAAATGTATTGTAGTTATTTAGAATTCAATCGATAAAATAAAAGTATATGCGAATAAATGAAGCCCTATAATAATAAAAATATACAAAACTTATGAGCACAGTAATTAAGATACTGAGAATATTGCGTACATTATGCAAATACTTATTTGTGGATTGTCAAAAATCACAGTGAATAAAATATTAATACTCGAATGCAACTCAGTTCATTTCTTAAAAATGCGTATTTTAATATATATTGATAAACAAAATAGAATCAACATTTTAGTAGCATTACATATTTCAAAATGATTGCAATGTAACGTAGAAAATTATATAATCAATATCATGAATAAATATATTCTTTCTTCTTATTTAGATATTTATTCGTTTTGAAGTTAATGTGAAAAAAGTATGTGTATGTATATATATAAAGAAACAAACTGACTTTAAATCTAATTAAGAAAATTTACGTACTATTGTAATAAAGAAAATATTTGAAAAGCAGTATGCCAGTTACAGAGATATTATAAAATGAGCAAAGTAGTATCAAAAGAAATTGAAAGACATAATGGAAACAAGCAGAACTAATTATGATATTCAACAAGGAATTTAATTATCTATTTTATATCTATTTAATTAAGATATAAAATTTATAATTATAACAAAAAAAAATATTCGACGTACGATAGAATACAGAGAAAAGTATATACTTCTGATAATAGTCCGTTCTAGTTGGAAAAGAGGACTATAATGAATTTATAAATAATTTTTTTTTCATAAAGCAATACATTTCAGCAAATTGTGACAGATTCTATTTAATTTTGGAACTTTCTACGTACTTACGTATAAATCTTACCTTTCGTATTAACTTTTTACATAATTTTTGTTGTTTAAAATAATGTATATTATCTATTATTCAAAGACAATGTATAATTGAAATAGATATTTCAAATTGAATGTATTTACAAATAGTATTATTAAAGAGTAAGTAAAAAATATTAAATAGTAGATTCGTGTATATTATACATTATAATTATTCATTGAAATATTAAGGTTGTAAAATGAATTAATAATATGAAAGAAATTAATAAAACTTGCTTGCTGAGAAGTGACAATGATGTTAAAAGTTAATTATCGTTTGTACTTACTTTCGTATAATATAATATTTTTATAGTGAACTCAGGGTTCAAAATTAATAATAAATAACAAAAATTCTACGCTTTTAATTAGATTATATAAACAATTCACTGTACAGAATCAGACAAAATTAATGAATGCAATACATAATTCATTTAAACATATTCATTCCATTAAGAATGTTCAGTTCATATGTAATTATACATTTCAACTAAGATTTACAAAATTAATAAGTATACATTATTTCAACTTCTGATGTTTGAAACGCATAAACTCCTATGTGTATATTTATACAATTGAAATTCCATTATATATTTAAATATGATCTAATTATAAATTATCTGTATAGTTTAAAGATTTACAATTTAATTTAAAACGTAAACTAAAGTAAACTTAAGAATTCTTTTTTACTGAATTGTGCTTTGCTTCGAATTAATGAATATCACCAATGACTTTGCAATTTCCGAAGTCTGCATTTGACCGAAGCTAATGAACTCCTCACAATGCTCACGAATTTTTAAACTCTCATTTCTTTGATAGTCCGAGCGCTAATTATGAATTCGTATAAATTAGCAATTATAACATTTATTTTCCAATTTCCGATACAGAGTGAATTAGCGTAGTACTGACATTAAAAAAATATAACAAACTAAATAATACTTTTTTTGTAAAGACATGCATTCACTGCAGTTATTTTATTGAACGAGAGTTTCCAATCAATAAATGGTTATACAAGTTTTATTTAGTTTATAAAATATTTATATAAACGAAAAATTTATTGTTATGTAACAGCTAATTAATTATTAATATTTTTATTTAGATTTTTAAATTTTACACATAACAATAATTATCCTAATGGAGAGATCTTAATACTCTTAAATATTTATTTTACAAATTATTTTAATATGAATTATATTACTTTATCGTAATAAGTATGAATTTCAACATTAATAAAAGGGATTCACTCTCTCCCCCCAATCACGACGAGTAAATAATATACGATAATTCATTGTTTTGGTACAAAATGAAATTATATGAATTAATATTTTGTTTGCTAATATGTAATTTCATCAAATAATTATTATAAGTATATTATTATAATAAAGTGAATATGATTTTTTTACAGATTATAATTTCAATCAAAACAATTATAGAAGTTCATTTTATGAAGAAGCATTTAGGCAATCAATAGAAAACCCTGAAAAATTTTGGGCAGAAATAGGGCAATGCGTCGATTGGAGTAAACCATGGGACAAAGTTTTGGATAATTCCAACGAACCGTTTACAAAATGGTGAATAATTTTTTAATTGAAAACATGAAGTTTCCTTATAAATATATAAATATAAATAACCACAGCCTATGATTGTATATATTTGGCTTTTAATTATATACTCTAAGGATAACTTGAATATTGCATGTCAAATTAAATACAGATAGAGAAAGAAAGAGAGAGAGAGAGAGAGAGAGAATATAGCAGTTGTGTCCGTATTTAACTTAATGTCATATTAGAAAAATAAAATTAATTATCATTCAAATAAGTTTACAGACCTTAAAAATGATATAAGATTTGTTTTTTTTTATATTTAAAATTTATTCAGATATACGAGATATTAACATAAGATTTAAAGATATTCATACTATTTTTCCATTGAATGCGTTATGCGATTCGGCGTGAATAATGACAAACGTATACGTTAAAATTTACAAAATTTTTGACTGAAGCACTTTGACTAATTTCACGTTCGAAAGCGAAGGAGAAAAACATTTTCTAACGAGCTTTCCAAACACTTAGGTACGTCGGCGGCGAGACAAACACCTGCCACAATGCCGTGGATCGGCACGTGGCAGCGGGTCTCGGCTCCAAGGCAGCTCTCATCTATGACAGCCCGATGCTCTCTCTTACGCGAAAAGTGACTTACGCTGAGCTTCTCGATGGTACGTCGCGACTGGCCGGTGCTCTTAGCAAACTCGGAGTGAAGAAAGGCGACCGCGTCCTCATTTACATGCCTCTCATACCCGAGACTGTAATGACGATATTAGCTACGTCGAGACTCGGCGCCGTCCATTCCGTCGTATTCGGTGGTGAGTTTTACATGACCTAACCGTGGAACCTATAATGTAATTAACGCTTGGTGTAATTAAGATTTCTTAGCTGGTGAAATATGTAGCAAGATGAGCTTGGATTTGCTACTTATGAAGACGATATCGCTCTTGATGTTGTAAACAATGTTAAATGAGGAAGTAGTTCGTCAGTGGCGACATTCTCTATGTCCTTGCTATTTAAATAAGCAGAATACATTCCTAGAACGGAGTTAAAAGTATGATTTCAATTTTGAAAAAGAATGGAATATCGCACAGCACTTGTTCAAAACATGTCTCTTAATTGATATATAAAAATCAGTATTTTTAGTATCATCGTTAATATATATAACTAATTGCTTCTATAGTTCTAAGAATACAAAGTAATAATAACATTTATTTATAATTAATAATTTTCACATATCGTTAATGTTAATTATATAATCGAATCTAATACTATATAAAAAATAAAAAAATAAAATATATAAAATATATAATCGGTGAAATGAGCAATTGTAGCAATTGTAATAAGTATAATAAATTATTAAAATTATATTAGAATAGATGATGACATTTTTTTAGAAATAAAATTCTTTACATAATAGCGATATGCTAGTGAAGATTAAAGTATAATTATAGGTGTTTGTTATTTTCTCATTTAGGATTCGCCTCTAAGGAACTCGCAACGCGAATAAGCCACGCAGAACCGAAAGTTATAGTTGCTGCCAGCTGTGGTCTCGAGCCTAATAAAATTGTCAAGTGAGTTCTGTTTCATAATTATTCCTAATCCTCGAAACAGTGCATGTATTATGTTGGTTTTATAAAAAAAATCCATATTGATTATTTCCTGCATATAGCAAACGCTTTCAAAACATTCATTTACTCATAAACCAATTATTTAATTATTTAAGAAGAAACATAATTTCAAGTCAAATTTTTCTATAATATATATCTTTCGTCTGCACATACTTGGGCAATTACGCTTGTCGTATCATTCATGCATTAAAGCCTATAGTCGCAAAAGAAATGTCACCACTGCAAGATCATACTCCAATTGGCCATCTGAACTCCAAAATTGACCGGGGATATGCCGGTTATACCGGTGAAAATAAAATATCGCGTAGGAAAAAAAAACGGAAATTATTCTCGCCTGATTCAGATACAC